CTGTGCATCGAAACCGAAGCAAATGGCTTTGGAAATGGTAACAGACTTTACCCTTTTTTATGTGTGTGAGCGTTTTCACCGAATCTGCTGCCAAATGCAGTTAAATAAACTTGTAGCTCATTTTTACAGTTTCCTCTGGGAGTGAAAGGGTCCGGTACGTTGGGGTGGACAACTTGTTGCATCCTAATCGAATTACAATTGTGTCTGGGTGTCTAGTCAACAGCTGGAGTGGCAATGCAATCAGCCACGTTAAACCAATTTGCTTAACCAGCAATCCGAGTGGTGCCAATGATTACGGCCCCACTGGTCGCTGTTCAACCCTCGAGGTCACCAAATTGTTCAAAGGGCTAGTCGCAGCTTAGAGCCGTACAGTAGCCAAGACTGAACTTGTTATGCAAATTGACTGTTTTACTGCACTCGGTGGAAGGTCTTTTTTGTATTTAGCCCATGAAACAACTTACATATAGCAAAGCACAATTTTATTTTACCAATTTTCTACAGCAAAAAAGTCAAAAGAGATAAACACACAAGAATATTGTAAGTGCAATCTCTGAAATATTTATAGCGAAAACAACTGATAACGAAAAAGACAAATTAGTTTAAAAAATAATATCTAATCTAATTTTAATATGAATATAGCATAGAACAACAGCTTGAAGCTGCTTGGTCTACTCATTATCCACAATCCTGTGCCCCGACCCTTCTTTGTTTTTGAATGTGATCCGGGAGGGTAACAATCATTATGGGACCTCTATATTGTTTATTTACAATAAACAAGCGTACGAATCAAAGTTTTACTCAGCTACAGTTTAAACAATAAAACTGTGTAACACATTTGAAGCTCTTTCAACTGGCTAACAATATTTATCGTTCCTTTTGTTCTTTTGCAGCCACTATAAGTAGACTCAATTTTTTCGGACTGATACAAAAAAGAAGAAGACTAGTAAAGAGCTCTAAGTTAATAACTTGAAATAAAAATATCATAAGCGGTACAGATTCATTTATTAACTCATTCATATAAGCACTCGTCATAATCAAAAAAAAACGTAAATTCCCTTTTTTGAATGTCTTCATGTAAATCTTCTAACAGGAAACACATAATTGGGCATAATTTCTATCCAGGCAGATATGTAGATTGTCCTGCTAGAGCTGTTAATGCATAACTATGGCTTTTAAAACAAATACAAATGCAAAAATATCTAATTATACTTAAAATTTGTATAGCAAGTAAATTCGCTAATGTTGATAATACGCCTAGCTACAATTTTGGACTGTTCAAATAGACCATTTTTTCGATCGTGATGGGCACTAAATCATTTGAGCCTGCGACAGGAAGGAGCGGATCGTCATCGACGTTCTCATTGTTGTTTTCTTGCATTTTATTGCTGTTCATTTTCGCACAAATCGCAAAAACCACTTAAAACTGTCAACTTAGCGTTGATTAACGGGCTTATAGCATGTTTATGTTTTAGGCACACATTTGCCATATAATTCCCAACATTGTGCCGGTTTCGTTAGCTTACTATGTACAAGTTTTTTATAAACTGTGACAGCGACCACAACGCAGTTTGTGCCTCCAAGTACAACCGACAAGTCTTTTATGATCAAGCCTTACCGTTTAGTCCAAAGCACGGGTCCGCGCCCGCCCGTCGACAGCCACCACTGCCAAAGTCCATTAAATCCGTTACGGCTTTGGCGCATGTTATGATTTTTAATAGCAGTGGCGCACTTCTTTACCAATTTCGATCACTCGATCGCTTAGCGTTTGCCAATTTGATAGTATGTACGAGTATCTGCAAGTTTGTGCTGGACATTTATATCTTTGCGCAACAATAATAGCTTCTACTTCTACTACTATCTACGCAGTACAACAGCGACCCCAAGTTCTAGATAGGCAAACCAATAACAATAATACTCAAATGCCAATAGAAAGTCCTGAGCTGCTGGCGCAATAGTCAAATGGCCAAGCAAAAATCTTCTCTAAGATTATTCAAATGTCAATATTTTGGTATTTTTACTAAGTATAAGTAGTACTATACTATAATGTACTATATTTAAGAATCACAATTCCAAAATTTACAGTAGTCTATAAAAAGTAGTTCGCAACGTAAGAAAACGTTTTTGAACAGGCAGAAGGAAGCACCTCCGACACCCTAAAGACGAGAGGAATCCATCTAGGATCTGGGCAATCTGTCCATCCGTTTGCCCGCCTGTCTGGGTAAACGCATGGATTTCGATAACGGCTGAGGCCAAATTGACTCAACCAAGGAAGGCAGGGGGGCAACGGAATGAGCTGTGTTGGATCTAGGCATCTAAGCATCTAGGGTGTAGCGCACCCGATATCATTAGTTTAATTAAGTTTGGGCTACGTGAGGGGCCATGCCCCACTTTAGCCCAATGGATATCCTACAGGTATAGAGCGCGATTGTGGCTTTTGACACTCTGTCTTCTAGCTCTAGCTTCCTATCCAGTATCAAAGCTAGATTTTTGTCTGAGCTGCTGAAGGATAATGGTACCCCATTTAGTAATGGGAGAGTGGAATTTTATATTTCCATGTGAAGAGGTTCAGGTCTGTAATACACTTAGTCTCGACGCTTGACATGTTGACATTGTGCTTAAGGCATCGGTGGATCTGCCTTTTCAGTAGTCATGTTGAGAGCGTGAGACCTAAGAGATCGGGATCTTGCCTCTTACGTAGAAACCTAATAGTCCATCAAACGTCTTTAATAGAAAAGACTAGAGCCTTTTTTCTTCTGCTTGCTTTATGTCTTTTTTGCCAATAGAGGAGGAGGATTCGTTTACTCGTAAGCCATGTAGGCGGAGCATAGGCTTTGAATTGCCTCTATATTGTCGCCATCGCTAAAATTGTTGTTCTTGGTTAAAATCCAAGCGCGGGTCTTTCTTGTACTTTTCGCTGCTATCAGCTTATACTCCTACATCGTCAATCCAGAAACGTGCCTTTGCAGATCCCAGGGTCCTGAATGAGGTCTACGTCGACTAGGTCTTGGCTTAGACGAAGCAGTACATCAGCGGATGCTGCTTTGCAGTGGTGGAAATTAATCTGTACCACTGTTCTGTCGGCCTCGCCGTCACCTTCGAGGATGGAGTCCTTATCGGCCTGGCCGAGCATAGCGGGCCCCTAACGAGCTCTGATTACTTCGAAGAGTACCCCTCAAGGATAGCCTCCTCGTTTGTCGCGGCCCCCATTCCTGGACTTTGTGGAACGACAAGCTCCACGTCCTCAAGCTCTGCGTGGTTGGCTTGTCACTTGCTGCATCCAACCGGTAGACCCCCGTGGCTACTGATTTGTAGCCATACCTAGCCACACCACCGTTTTTAGTCAGCTCGTCCACCGATTCTTTACTTAATATATGGACGATCTGACATGAGGTCTCGTCCACCTTCTCGACATTGACCACACTCCAGTTATCCATTTGAAGTTGGGGTTTGCAGATCTGAAATACCTTTAGAATTTCTTCCGGCTTTGCCGACACCCTGATCCTGGTCTCGGCCAGGTGAGTACGTCGCATTAGTCCATGGATAGATTTCTCCAAGCGCAGCTATTGATTTTTTGAAGACTTCGACTAACCGCTTGTCGTGACATGCAATGGCCCTGACTCTGCCCTAATACCAGCCTACATCATCATAAATCGTTAGTGATCCTCTACTCGTTGCCAGCTCAGTCAGAAAGCGACCTTGCAGTTCGTTTTCGTCTCCTGCCCATCTGTGCCTTGGGACAAGACCATCCTTGCTGTCCATGTCTTGGATACCAATGCAGATCTTATCCTTCGCCACTTCTGCCATAGTTCGATGTAGCGGCTGCTGTGGTCGTGTTCGCTTTGCTGGTTGTGGTGGCGTTTCTTGTGCCATCAGCCTTATCAGCCTTACTCTTGTAATGCTTTTCCGGAATTGCTGCCTTGAATTCCGGCCATCTGGTGACGTCTCCGGAGTTGCGCGTCTCTTGTCTTGAAACTACGTTTTGAATTTCCCCTTCGAGTGCTGGCTTGGCTTAGCAGCTTCGCCTTTGAAATGGAGGGTCTGGAGGTCTGGCTCTCCCCAGAAACTAAGCCAACCGATGGGCATGTCGGATTGTCTCCACCTTCACTTCCGGCTTATGGCGAGATCTGGTATCAGCTGTTTTTCGTGTTTGTTTTTAATTTTAAAGGATTTCATATTTTTGTGCCCACTAGTAAACGGGAAGGGGTGGGTGCCATAGAGCAGGCGCAACTCTTATACAAGTATACCTTAGCTCGGAAGAAGAAAAAACAACACAAAATGTCAATCAACTTTGAAATCTTCAATCTAAGCGGAAATGGTTAGAGTATAAGCAAAAACATAAGTGACATTACTCAAAATTGGCGAAAAAAATGAGGCGGGTGTAAAACATCACTTTCGGTTTGGTTGGGTATCCGTATGTCAAGTTTCATCGTGATAGGCCAAAGAAAGGAAGTTATAGCCATGCATGTAATCTGCTTTGTTGTTGCTGCGTTGACTCAACTTTGGACTGCACAGACACGTATTGACACGCACTCCAAGGAAATATAGTCGATTAAACATTTTTTATTGCAATTTTGTTTATTTCGCTCGTTATGTTAATTTATTTCTTTATTCTACACATTATACAGAGTATTTCAAAGTCGGGACACCTAACTTTAACTTTTCCAATTGCTTGCATTTAGTGCACGCCATTGTACCACTGTGTATTTCGTGTAAATGAAACAAATGTAAATGTAGCGAGTAAACCATTTCTATCGTCATATTCATTATTTGGTTATGTGTGTTTTACAAGGGCCTATTGCACTGTCTCTCTTTTCGTCATTGTGTTTTTTCTAATGGCGCATCTTTACAAATTCACTCGCGCCACCTAGCGTTACCGACATCAAGCCAGCCATGCGAAATGGGCAGCACTCTTGCAGTGCTACCAAATCGTGTGTTACCAGCTGATATGCAAGGGTGACCAGAACTTCTCTTACTAAGGGTTACAACAACCAACGTTCCATACCAAATTTACGACCACTTGTTCAACTTTATATAGTAAATACATTTTTATATCCCCATGGCCGTTCTACCTCCAGACCCTGTGTTTAGCTTACGCTGCCCAGAAATGGGTGCCGTCTATTCTTTATGTTTTCATGAGAATGAACGCCTGTTAGCCGGTACCTTAAAAGGCAACGTGTTTTTGTGGGATCTACAGGTGAGCAAAATATACGTCGCGAAAATTGCGTTACTTACATTACCCTTCTAGACAAATCGCTGCGGCCTGCACTTTGAGGTGAGCAAAGAAGCCGTTACTAATCTTCATCACACGCCAGATCGCCTGGTGACACAGGAGAAAGGTGGAACCGTAACTATGTGGTCAATGACCAACACCTGCTATGTGCGCGAGCGCAGCATTCCCGGCAACCACTTGGGCTACTGCCGCACTGCACTGCATACAAACCCGAATAACACAAACGAGCAGTTATTATTCTATCCATGCGGAGAGTCCACTATAGGCGTCTTGCACGTCACTGACCCGGCAGCGCCAACGCAAATGCTTGTGCCTGATGACCCGCAGCTGCCAAAACTTGGAACAGTTACCTGCTTTAAGCCCTTCGAGTGTGCATCGCAGTTATTTTTGCTGGCTGGCTACGAGTCGGGTCACTTTTTAACTTGGGATCTCAGCTCAGGCGTGATCGTTGACGTGATGGCCGATCTGGCACCAGAACCTATGACTGTAGATTATGATCCTGTGACAAATCGGGGCATTGTCGGCACTGCTTGTGAGTTAGATTATCCATAATATGCGTTCTGTAGTGCAAATTTTAAAAACGACTATCCCTATCCTGCCCTGCCCAGCGGATAAGCTAACTGCCATAAGTTACCAACGGCAGTCCATGCAGCTGCAACGTGGCCCTGAACTGAGCATTAAGAATGCCGGCGTCAATATCGTGCGCATACGGGGCGACCAAAAAGTTTTTACCAGCGGTGGCTGGGATGGACGCATACGCATCTTTTCGTGGAAGAGTCTACGACCTCTGGCCGTACTGACGCAGCACAAGCAGGGAGCCGTCATGGATATAGCCTACTCGCCACAGGAGGTGTCAATGTGGCGAGCACCCATAATGGCAGCAGCTGGCATGGATGGCCAAATTTCACTCTGGGACTTGTACAATTGAAACTTTCTCACTAAGAGTTAATATTCAATATTACTGTTATCATGTTAAAGCAAAAGCTTGCACCGACTGAGGACATGCAGTTCTCAAGCATTTTGAAAGGTTTTAAGGAGTATGCACCTATGAAAGGATGGGAAAAAATCATCATAATCCTATTAATGAGTAACTCCCAGCTCATGGCTTTGAATCATTGAAATAAAATATTATTAAATTATAAGATAGTAATGCAGTTTGTACTTCCCGGTCCAGTGTTGCTCCCCAGGTACAAGGCAAACTCAGTAAAAATATTTGTTTAGTACGTGGGATGGCTTTTAAACTTTGCTAAAACAGTTACCAATAATTTATCGCTAAACAGAAAGGAATGAACCAACTCACAAATACCTGCATCCAATCAGGTTACTTTTAAATGATTACGCTAGTCATTAGTTAATTTTCGTAAGATTAACTTTATTCTTACATTAAAGAAGAGATGCGCATGGGCCGGCTTTTTTTTTGCCCGACACGGCAACGAAATAAATTTTTTAACACGGCCCAACACGAACCTGTCATAACCATTAAAGGTAAAAACGAAAAATATACCCATATTCAGCACTTCAAATTTGTATTAAATAATATGTACTCATCTATATTTGAGCTAAGAAGCCGAGCTCGTTGCTTATTTTAAATTTCTGTAGAAGTGGAAAAAACTCTTTAACTTGTTTGAAAAGCTGTCAGGGATATTGACTTTGATGATTATTTGATAAGTTTTACTTATTTCTTAATACAACTTGCCTAGTAAACTAAGTCATACACTTAATATTATAATTTTAGGTAACATTCATAAATAGGTTCTTCCCACTGCCCTATTGACGTGGTACATCAAAAAAGTCTTGACAACCTGTTAAAATAAATATATGTAAATAATAATAAACTTGCACAGCTTACACACATAAAACAACGTGGTGCGTGGTTCATCATTAGTTCTTGCCAAGGAATACTACAAGGAAGTTATAAAACGTTTGCGTGTAATTAAGTGCATTATATCTGAGAGGGATTACTTTGAAGGGGATGAATAAATACGTACTATTCAAAAAAATAAACAAAAATGCTCCTTTTTTATTTGAACAGACCATCTACAGTTGTGTTCAATGAGTTCAATGTAGTGCTGCTCCTCACCACTTTCAAAACTATTTTCGAGACACTTTTAGTCATCCAAATTGAACAAGCGATATCTTTTTAAAAATGGAATGTAAGGATTAAAAAGCAGGGAAACCCCCTTTACATTTCAACTGCTTCTTCTTGTTTTTCATTATTTTACACAAATACCCATGAAAAGTGCTGTTCATAGAAAGAGTAGTGCTTATTTTAAATTTGAAACAAAAAACAAACAAACTAATCTTTATTATAAATGTTGTACACGTTTCTTAGGGTTTAATATTGAATTTTGAATCCTTTGTTATTCAATACAGCCTGACACCGGCGGGGCATGAAATTAATTATAAGCGCATCCAGGTCCTGCACAACCGTGCATTGCCATTGCCGTGCATTACCAACTGCCCCTGATACGTGCGCAGTTCGACCCTTCGCCTAGACCTAAACCTGTTTACCGTGGAGGAGCAGATTGGAAGGCATACAAGTAGACACAGTGACAGGCTTCTGAGTCACCACAGTTTGCTTGCAAGAGGACTCTTTCCTGCTAGACCTTTGCGAAGACTGAAACGATTTTTTTCAAAACATTTAGATAAGCATAAGCCACCACTAACTTATTAATCCTCGCGCGGAAGTGCTCGAGGTTGGGCTATTTTATATTTGTAAGAATGTATTGTTAAGATGCTAATCTGAATGCACGGCTTCAATGCTTTGATTAAACAGAAAAAAAGAGTGCGAATCCGTCCAAATTGTTCGGGCTTTCTGTAGTTGCAGGCTTTCTAAAAAAGTATCCCTTGTTCAATTTGGATGACTGGGCGTTTTCCCGCTACTATTTCATTGAACATAATGTATGTATATAAGTACACTCGGTAACACAGCCCAAATCGTACTTTATGGATACAAAAACAATGTTTTCCAATTCGAACCAAATTGGAGAAGAATCAAAAATTTTGACAAATACATTACTTTTTGAACTTTGTTGAAAAATGATGTAAGGATATGTTTATTTATTGTCAAACTTATATAGAATTTACAAGAGATTAAATGTGTAAATAGTTTACAATTTTATTATTTCCTTAGCACATTAAAACGTACAATTTTTTACAGCTGTCTGGGAACCGAACGGATGAAAAATTAGGATATAATCCAACGGAATATCCTTCGAGAGTCCTCCTCCCTCAGAAATTATCTCCTCACGTGCCCTCGCTAAATTGTTAATTGGTGTGAGAAACGCACGGAGATAGCGGATGCCGATGCTCTTCGCAGAAAAGTATATCAATGAGTGTATCTGAATGAACAGTCGTCTTTGGTTGCTATCAATTAAAATACATTTATTTGGGTACAGGGTATGTCCCGCTCGAGGATATCATTCAAAATACTCAGTATAGTATTTCTTTGGTACTTCGCCTGGTATGGCGCTCCGAAGATTTGACTGACGCATGCGTTAAATAGCTTTGGCCCACTGTAATTACACATACATACATGTGTTTTGTGCTGTACATATGCAACAATATACATACATACATATGTAGTACCTTTACTGTAACCGGTGTACTAAAGCTGTAAATATTTAAAACTGTTTAGATGGCTGTAGGGATATAATAAATATTTTATTTTTCTTTAATTATTCAAGATACTGCAATTACGAGTATACGAGTATATGCTCCCATTTACATATCCTCATTATTTGTGCAATTTTTCTTTTCTTCTTCAGCACTTTGTGCGTCACTTGCTACTTAGTACTTTATGCCTCTCAGCACTCTTGAATACATGAATACATGCACATGATCATACTTATGCTAGTATGTATACATACATATGTATCTACTACATAAATACTAATAATTTTAAGAGTTTCTAAAGACTATACTTGTATATGTATATTTTACCGCTACTGTTACTTTTTAACTTTAGCATAGTTGTTGTGTGTATTGCACTCTTCGTCATCCTTGTGGTTGTTGCCACCTTCTTCAGTGTTGTTGTCGGTGCCCTCGGCACGTTCAGCCTCTTTGAGAGCCATCTTCTGAAAATCGCAGTCGATAATGCGTTTGCGCTTGCGCAGCGGTCGGCTGCATTCGGCAGCAGCAGCAGCAGAGCTACTGTTATTGTTGGTGTTGTCGGCGGTGGTGCCAGTGACGGATACTGGGTACAGGGCGGACTCTTTGGTTTGAATGAGGGTGCGTTTGGTTTGCAGCCGTGTGATTTTCAGCTTGGGCACCTTTTGGGATTCCTGCTCGGGCGACTGCGCGACTACTGCCCCATCTACGGCTGTCGATGTCGCTACCGCTGGTGGTGGTGAGGTCTCCTCAGGCACCACATTGATGCAGTGGGAGGGCGCGTCATGGGCACCCTGAGAATCAGTTGTCGTTGGCGAAGAGCATGACGACGACGATGGGGGTGGCGGGGTCTTTGGTGTGAGTTTCTCCTCTGGTTCCTCCTGTTCTTGTTTCTCATCCTCCACTTTGGCCTTAGTACAGTCCAGGGGCTGCTCCTCTGATGGTGCATCCACTGTGCTTGTTCTTGTTGCAGATGGGCTGGTCCTTGACCGCTCCTGATCGAACAGTTTGCGCTCTTCGGGCTTCAAGTGTGCCCTGTAGAAGTCCACAACGGGCAACGGTACTGGTATGGGTATGGGCAACGGTATAACGATGGGATATGGCACCATGACGGTAACGGGTGGAGCAGTACCCAATAGAGCACCAAAAGCGCTCTGCATCTCGTGCAGCTGCGGTGGCAAAGGTTGTGGCATCTGTGGTGGAGGAGGTGGTGGACCAAATGGTGGGCCGAACCCCCGGGGCAACATGCTGGGTGGTGGCGGAAGGAAACCATGGGGAAGTGGTGGACGGGCGCAAAAAGCGCCGGGGTGCAAGAGTCCGTTGGGCGGAGTAGCAAAGTAGCTGGATGGTATACTGGTGGTGACAGATGCATTACCATTGGTAGACGGGCGAATCAAGGACTGTACGGGAGATGGAACACCCGGCTGTTGCTGCTGCTGATCTATCATTGGGGATAGAGGGGGAACACTCATGTGCAGATCCTGGACGCTGGAACCGGCAAAGTGACTAATCGTAGAGTGGGGACCGGCGGATGCAAGTGACTGCTGCAGCGGGCTGGCACTGAGGCGCCCATGAGGCGCTGCTGGTTGCTGTGGCTGCTGCTGCTGCAGGTGGTGCTGTTGCTGCTTTTGCAGTAAACTGGCAACTGTTTCGGAACCTGTGGGTCCGCGATGGGGACGTTTGCGACGACCTGGCTTGGAACCGGTGTGATGATGACGAGTTACTTGTGGCCCCGTAGAGGCAGCTATGCCTGGTGCCACCAAGCTGTGATTGTGACTGGGACTCTTCTGTGCCAGCAGCTTGGACACGGGCGCCACTGAGATCAGGGGTTTGCTGTGATTGGGCGGCGTATCGCTGGGCGAGCTGCGTTTTAGTGCAATGTTGCTGTGGCAATTGTTAATGCTGCCACTGAGAAGTGGGCCTGGTGACACGGATATGGTTGAAGCCGGCGAAGCGGAACGACTGCGGCAATTCCGCATCCATAGGTCGGGCGTTATGAGAGATGTGCTATCTCCGCTGGCAGCTTGATCACGCAAATGTGGGTTCATGTCGAGATGGGCTTGTGTCTCATTGCAAAAGATCTGCATCTTGTACTGATTGAGGCACTTCTCCGAGCAAAACTGCAGTTGTGAGGCACCGTCCTGAAAGTCCACGTAGCTGACAGCATGACGGACGTGTTTGCACCAATCACAGGTCTTAGCCTTCTTGAAGGAGGCGCGTCGACTCTGGGTAAAGCAGCTTTCCGAGCAATAACGCGGTCCATCGCTACTTGTCAAGTAATCGGGCGCATTTTCCGCTATGGGGCGATGGCACCAGCAGCAGTTATTGTAGTCTATGAAAAATTAGAAGTATTAAATAATGGTAAATATGGTCGAGATGAATGAAACATTATTTCCGAGAAGCTCATAAAAATGATTACATCTGTTTAATTTTGATCAACGATTTCTTCTTTATTTATTTATTTATTTATTTATTTATTTGAAGAGACCTAAGATAGAATGCAGTATAGCTGCAGTAATGCTGATGAAATTGTACCTAATCCAGGAATGCACCTGGAAATCGCCCGGAGTGGACCCGTAAAAAGGTTTTTCATACAGTTCTGTCTGATATTTCAAATTGAGTATTTTCTTTTACGATGCATACGAGTCATGCGTTTGGGAATGAAATTTCGGTTAATGCGATCTAATTGATGATTATTCGAACTTATTAGTATCATCGAGCTAAGTTATTTATCAGAAAACAGGAGTTTAGTGTTAATTCCCCAGAAATATTTGGACATATACCAAAAGCCTGTACCCAAAGTGTAGAAGGCTATTCTAGTTTTGTGCGCATGTACATACATATGTAGCACACGGAAGAATGCGAGGCAGACCCCATAAAGTATATATATTCTTGATCAGGATGACAAGACGAGTCATGTCTGTATGAACGCACGGATATCAAAAAGAGTAAGGGCTATAATAACCGAACTTAATATCTAGATTCTCCCAAGTCCGCTGCTTTGACTTAATTCTGTACTGTACACGATTCTGATGTAAATAAATACTGTTGTAATTGCACACTTCTTGAATAAAATTTATTTTATTTTTTGTAAATAATTAAACATTTTATGAGGGAGTGGTTTAAGAGTTTAACCCGCTTGAATCCAGCGTTCCTTTCTTATTTTCCGATTCTTTTCTGTTCTTAATTTTGCAGGATATGCCGACTTCTATTACCACTGGTATACCTATATTTGCCCAATAACTGGCCTCACTATGCCAATAATGATCGGCATTAATTGTATAATTGATGGACATGCATTGACAGACAGTGTTGACTCTATTAAAGACCTGCTAGTATACTATACTATACCACTCGTAGTACACATAAAGATTAATTGAAATATAATTGTTCCCAACTTTTGATATGTGTAATCTCACTCTGCACACCATATGCAAATCATTTCAGCTCACCTACTATACAAATCAAATATTCCTGGAATAGTTTCGAATTTTGTAAGCCATATTTAATGAATGTGTTATTCGATAATGCAAAAGCATCAGCCAAAACTGCTGCCGAACAATTCATGAAAAGTTATCAAAGTTTCCAGCCCGTCTGCCTGTTTTGCCTCTGCCGCTACCTACCTACCTTCCTCCCTGTTTCTCCCTATCTATAGTCTTGTATGTGTGTTGGCCAAGTTTGCGTAATGAAGCTGATGCCTGGGCCCAGACTCGGGCTGGTAGAAGTCGAACTTATCGAATTGCAGGCATAAAGGAATAATACAAAGGCAGGCGGGGCAAAAATTGTGCTAGCTAGTGGGGTTATGTTCCGGGACTAGGGATGAAGCGGGGTTTGACCAAGTGTTGTTGCATTTGCCGACAGGTCGTTTCGATGCGCTGCCTGTCCATTTTTGGCTGAGCTAGTATCTCGAATTTCATCAGAAGTTGTTGCAACCTCTCGGAAATTTTTTAATGATTTTGAGCGGATTTTACGCACCTATTTTCTCCTCCGTGTTCATCGTCGTCGTCGTCGCCGTCGTTGTCGACGTCGCCCCCACGCCAGTCATCACTGTCATCGCCGTAGCCTTGCCAATCGAATGCGGACTCTTGGAGTCATCCTCGCGGGAGCTGCGGGTGTCATGATCCGAGGGCGTCGTACTATTGCAATTTAAATTGATGGGCTTTCGAGCGCTATTGTTGTTGTTGTTGTTGTTACTGTTTATATTGTTGTTGTTATTGTGATAAAGAGAGTTGCGACTGCTCCGGGCCAAAACTGTCCGCTTTCGTTCCAGCAATAGCTGCTGTTGTTGTTGATGCTGCTGCTGGTTGGCCACCGCTGCTGCCGCCGCACTCTGCAAAAGACGCGACGTCTTAGCTGACAGGTCCAAGCGATCAACGCCTTCGAAACCATACCAGCCCAACAGCTCGTTCATTGTGTGCTCGGCAAATTCCTGCAAAACGGCGAAAACACAATACACAAGTTAAAGAAATACTCGTAAATAGTAAGTCTTTTAGGTCTAAAATATAATCTCGATAGTCGGCACATTAACACAGACCATTATATTGTTATCAATGCAATTAAGATTTTAACTACCTCTAGCGTAATATCTATACGGCTAGCGATGTTGGTATGTTCATTATCAGTAACTTCAGCAATTCATCCACCAGATTATCATCTGCTTCATTAATAGTTGTTAGGCATTTTACAACACTTGTATTATAAGAATAACTTATCCGATTTTTCATAAGATCATCCACTTTATATGCGCAGAAATTAAAAACCCTTACCAAGCCATGCCTTACAATAAAAACTATATTTTATTATATTTATAGTTTGTTCTTTTATCGGTTCCATAGTTTCATAGCCATGTACATAGCTCCATCACATATCACAATAGAAGTTCGATTTTAATACTTTTATATATAATAGTTTTGAATACAAAACTTAAGAACGCGCACAATAAAAACAATATACACTAACACTAGGATTCTACGATTTGGAGGGAATTCATTCCACCTGTCCAAACGGGTAATCGTTGGCGCTAGTTATATGTTGGACCCGTAGGGTAAAAGCGGCTTAATAGGTTTGTGCAAGGTATGTAACAGGCAGAAGGAAGCATCTTCGACCCCTTAAAGTAGAAATATTCTTAGCATGACGAGAGTAATGACATATAGTAGACATGTCCATCCGTATGTCTCTCTGTTTTTTTTAGTCTATACAAGTAATTTTAACTTGTTTGATTCTCTCCCCTCTCCACGGTACAGAATTTCGTCAATACTGCCCACATTTCAAAAGTTACATGAACCAAACACACGAAATCTATATAAAGTTAAATACTTTTGCTTTAAAATTCATCCAAATCGGTTCATTCTACTTAGTAATTACTATCTAGTCTTACACGTCCCGCCTTGATTGCTATGACTCTTCTAATATCCAGGCAGCACGAGGTTTTTTTTCAATTTTCCCTTCCTCGCTCCGCTTAAGAATTTCGCCAATACTGACTCCATATCAGAAAATATACAAATATCCAAATCCAATTATCCAAATCAGTCAATTCCAAGAAAAGATTGAGCGAAACAATTTCACTCCAGGACTACGCCCCCAAACTCAAGCATCAAGTTAACTCTTCGTCTTATTATTTCTTCTACTATGGGCCCATATAAATCCGCGCCGGAGGTACAGGGTATTTCACTGTCGGGTTTGCTCGAACTTAGCGTTCTATCTTATTATTATTATTGTTTTCCTCGCGATATATGCACAGCTTGCTAGGTACATGCACAGCAAATTTGTTTCGTTTGCATCTCGTGTTTCGAAAATCAACAACAGACAATATGTTCTGGACATTTACATTGCAGTCTATTTTCTCAACGATTTCTAACAACGAACATTTTAAACAATAATGTTAGTCACGCCTTTATCAAAATAATTCTTTACCTTTACTGTAATATTGATATGCGTCTTACTAAAAAAAGTACGAAGATAAAGTATCGAATGCCACACAGCATTACTTCTTGGAACAACTTTAAGCGACAAATTAAATCGTACGGTCGTTTTAAAGAGCAGAGATACAGTTTTCTTTTTCTGTGTCTTAACCATAAATACTTAAAAATGTGATAATATCATGAATTCATTTATTTATTAAACAAGTTTTGTTCAAAGAAACTATTTCCATTGTGTCTGCTGACCTGTAACCTTGTCAAATAAGCTCAAAAATTGTCATTTCATTATGTTTCCAATTAAACCAACGGACATGCGTGCATGGTAGCTGTTCATATTGTTGTTGTTGTTGTTGTTGTCATGATGTCAATGTAATCAATAACACTGTTCAAACTTGTTGAAAAGCTGCTTTTAAACAGATACAAGCATATCACTTGGCAGACACACATACACTCACACCTATCGCCACACAGGCAGAAGAAAAAACTTCATTATAGACTGGGAGGGAAGTTCGATGCCCATAATCCTTGCTGCTGTTATGGTTCTTGTTTTTGCTGCAATGGGATATGACTTTGCAAGCTGCAGCAGCAGACGACTTGCTAGTGGAGGCCCCCGGCTGGGACGACCGGGCATGATACTGATATATAATACATTTGTGCTGGGGCGTGTGTCGCCTTTTTCCATATGCTCGTATACAATACTGTTTTAAAATTAAACTCATTCTGGCAATGCGTTGCACAAACATACACACACACACTCGTGTGGTGCATATACTTTTACAGATCAAGCAACATGCGGCTGCCCAAGTCGCAAAACTGCTGCGACTTTTGATTCTGTACGTATGCTTCGCGGTATTCGCAGGCGCTCAGTCGAAAGAGACGAATGGACAAAACCAGAAGATATGCACGAAAATTTCACACAAGGCTACCAAACTGCACAGATATACATATGTAGTATAAAGCCCCCACTATCAAATTACATTCAAATTGTCATTTTTAAAGTCGGCGTGTTGGCTCCAGCATCCAAATTGTCGCCAGGCAGCCCTGTCATCGCAATTGTCAGTTTCTTGTTGTTGTTGTTGTTGTTGCTGTGGCAGCCATCCATGCAACTTGGTTGGTCGGCTTTATGCATGTGGTGGCAGTGTCATGGGAATTTCAAGATGATGGGGTAAGCTTCACAGATTCGCAGAACGACTTCAGAAAATTGCAGACTTTACTCATATATGTATATATGTATGTCAGATTAATGCGAATGGGAAGCCTGATATTATCGGTATATAATAATATACTTAATTGCATAATTTTGCAATATTGGCAAAATACAAGCTTTGCTTGCTTTAGACTTAAGAGAATTTCAATAACAAGTTTAGTTATCCTAGCTCGTATATTCTGAGCTCCTTGGGCTCATATGAACGGATATGGCCTACATATAAATTGAAAACTGTAGAAGGGCACAATTTGAAGTCGTTCAAAGGAACACAAATTGTATTATAAACCGCAATATACGAACATTCAATAACTCAATATCACAATTGTAACTGAACAGTATCTGCATATATTTCATTGTATGACCTACATGGGTTTCTTTTTTGGCTTCAAAAATAAAATATCGGCATTTTTAGACTCAAATCAATGTTATATAGTAATGTTGTTCGATGACAGAGAATCTCATATTCATAGAACGGGTACCTAGACTGAAAAGTTAATAATAACAAGCTATATACTTGTATAATATATACAAGGGCGTATGCAATGGGGAAGCTGGGCCCCCTAAACAAAATCTCCCATCACATTCATTATTGTGATGCACTATTCGCCTTAAAATAGAACTGACTTGACTTGGACTGCCAAAAAATTAAAATTTTGATTAAATAATGCACGATGCATTTAAAAAACAAGTAAAAAAGCTAAAGTCGGGTGTCCCGACTTTTAAATACTCTGTACATATGTTTACCATAATTATAGAAAATAAAAAAAATTAAGAAAATAAAAAAAAAATTTGATCGATTTTACCTCTCTCGGTATTTGAACTCACGTAAAGGGTTTATAATTGCACATTTACATAGCAATTGCGTCTGTGTGAGTGTATGTATGCCTATGCGCATCAATTCGTGTCTGTGTAAGCATTTTCGCAGTCAACCAAACAGCAACATCAACAACAGCCGCGGGCAGCGCTTGAGCAGCGCTTGAGCAGCGCTGCAGCAGCGCTGCATCAGCAAATATATTTATGGCTATAACTTCTTGTTAAATCGGTCTATCATAATGAAATTTGGCATACGGACACATAATAACTAACTGGGGGTATTTCCAAAATTTTAGTTTGAAATTCCAAGAATTACGGGAGTTACGATTTGCGGGGTAGAGGGGGGAGGGAGGGGAATTCCAAAATATACATTTTCTGCGTATTCACATAAGGCATCTGGGACTAAAATTTGGTGTTCCTAGGTCTTATAGTCTCCGAGATATAGGCGATTATACAAATGGAAAATCGGGAAAACCCCCATAGGGGGGAAGTGGGGGGGAAAATCAAAAAAATAAAACAAACTCGTATAGAATACACACATAACGCATCTTCGTGCAAAATTTGGTGTCTCTATCTCTTATAGTCTCTGAGATCCAGGTGTTCATACGGACGGACAGACGGACAGACGGACAGACGGACAGACAGACAGACAGGGCTAGATCGACTCGTCTCGTCATGCTGATCAAGAATATATATACTTTGTGGGGTCTGCCACGCCTCCTTCTGCCTGTTACATTTTTCAGCTCCCGCAAACCTAATATACTCTTGTACATTTCATGTACAGAGTATAATAACTTATGCATATGATCAATGAAAAAACTTCAACAAATCCAACGTCGTGCGTCATAATAATGAACGTGTGGACTTTATATGGCAACAATTTTTATAATCGGGACACTCAGCTTTAGCTTTTTTACTTGTTTATTTATTTATGTGTTTGACAAATATCTGTCAATATTATAACATAAAAATATACGAGGTATACATTTATATATATATAACCAAAAAAAAAAACAAGAAAGGAATGCTAAATTCGAGCAGGCTCAACTCTTAAATACCCTGTACCACCCCACAAAAAAGTAATTAAATTAATTAATTAATTTAATTAATTAACTAATTAAATATAAAATATTCCATGCATGCATACATACATTTACATTTACATCAGAATCGTGCCTTATGCGTGTTTGTGTACTCGTACATATGTATGTATGTGTGCATTGGGCCTGGTTATATGGCTATAAATTTCTTTCCGATCATTCTATCATAATGAAACTTGGTATACGGATATATAATCCCTAACCTAATGTGACTACCAAATTCCAAGAATTACGGGAGTTATAGAAAATCGTTAATAGGGGGGGAGTGGGAGTGAATGAACAAACTCGTCCTTTCTCGGTCTCAGGAGAATCTGTATACCAAGTTTGGTTATTCTAGCTCTTATACTTTCGGAGATCCTTGCGTTCATACAGACAGACAGGCGGACAGACA